CCCAGCACTAGAGAGGAGTATTAAATGGGAGGAGACCGCTGTCAGGCACAGACTCGTTCTAAGGATGAGAACTCTAAGGACAAGCCTGACCCCAGGCGCCAAGCACACATGTGGTACACAGACATAAATGCAGGCAAAACCTCATAGATGTAAAATAAATTAATCTAAAAATAAAAAAAATCATCAGGTAGTGGTGGCGCATGCCTTTAATCCCAGCTCTCAGGAGGCAGAGGCAGGAGGATCTCTGTGAGTTCAAGGACAGCCTGGTCTACAAGAGCGAGTTCCAGGACAGCAAGGGCTACACAGAGAAAGCCTGTCTTGAAAAACAAAACAAGAACAAAATAAAACAACAACAAAAAGTCTTTGTGTTTCAGTATCCTCATTTATAAGGTAGCAAGCTGGTTCCCTAGAGCTGTAAGAGAATATATATATATTCTAACATATATGTTCATGCTGATTTTCGACAGTGTGAACATTTTGGTACTGAATATGACGAAGTACAGATTCATAGTTATTTAGAATAGACTTTTATTTGTTTGTTTTTGTTTCTTTTTGTTTTTCTTTTTCAAGACAGGGTTGTATGTAACAGTTCTGGCTGTCCTAGAATTGGCTTTGCAGACCAGGCTGACGTCAAACTCATTGAGATCCATCTACCTCTGCCTCCCAAGTGCTGGGATTAAAGGCGAGCACCACCACCGCCCAGTTTAGCACAGAGTTTTAAAAACACTAAAACCATAGGAAATATTTTGCAGAGAGGTCTTCTATAGGGCAATAAGGAACACTCCCTACATCCCTCGGCTAAAACAGAGGCCTCAGACGGTTTCTTGGAGAGAGCAGAGAGGATTTTTTTTCCTGGCTCAGGATCGGTACTTGGAAGATAACCTCATGCCTGCAATCGATTTCTTTGAAAGCTTGGTGTGGGGTTGATTCCCTGGGGAGGAAAGCTAAGCGAGAGGAGGAGATGCTCATTAAAGAGCCTTTGCTTTTATTCTGTTTGATGCATGGTGGAGGAAGAACATGGCTCCCAGTGTGTATTTGCTGCTTCAGGACAAGGTCCTTGAAATGGCTTAACTCTTTTCTTCTCCTGAGAAGGAAAGCTGGGCAAAACATGTCGAAGTGACTGAGAGTGGAGGTGTACTCTCCATCCCAGCGCTCAGGAGGCAGAGGCGGGTGGATCTCTGTGAGAGTGAGCTCCAGCACAGCCAGGATGAGATGAAATAGAGGGACTCTGTCTCAAAACACACACACACGCACACACACACACACACACACACACACACACACACACGCAATCACGCACGCACACACACGAAGCTCCTTAGGAAAGGTCTTAGCAATGGTATGTTATTTCCAAATCATCAGAAACCCTCGGAGTAGGTTCTGGGTCCATTTCCCAACATCTGCGTGTGGGAACAGCCTACCCTTCCTCCCACTCCCTCTCCCTTTCCCCTCCTCCTCTTTGAAGGAGGGCCTCGTTCCTGGCATGCTAGGAAAACATGCTCTGTCACTGAGACATACATCTAGAGCCCTCCTCCATGTTCTCAACTGCAGTTTCCTTGTAAGATTTAAGTTTTATTCCCCTCCTCAGCACATCTTTGTCCCGTTCCGGCTTATACTGATACTATGATCTCAGAGAGTGCAGAGTCATGTCTAGGGCCTTCCTTCCTCCTCCAAGGCCTGGGAAGGTAAACAGCTAATGGCCCTCAGTGAAGTTCCGCTTTGAGATCTCTTCTCAACCACAGAGAGCCATCTTACCCAAGATCGCTTCCTGAGGGGACTCTACTTTCTAGGGTGAGTCAACATTGGGGTACAAGACTGAACTCTTGCCTCAGTCCTCTCGTGTGCCAGTCATTCTTCCCTGGGCCTGATCCTGTTGGCTTCTCTTCCCAGGCTAGACCTCTATCATACCTGCCAGGAATCTACACACAAATGTGCAACTTACCTGCCCAGCTCAGGGGCTAGACGGTTTTGCACGTGAGAACCATATTATGGTAACTTTCTTCTCGTTATGAAAACACCACCACACACACACATACACACACACACACACACACACACACACACACACACACACACACACTTGTAATGGGAACTTTGAAATTTCCTCACTCACACCAAAAGCTGCCTTCCAAGAACATGGATGACCATGAGATTTCACAGCATTTAACATCTTTTCAAATGTTTCTAACATTTTTTTTCTTCCTTTGAAATAGTCAAGTACTATATATAAGGATGGCCCTGGCAGCAGCATGACCCTAGGATACCAACATGGTGTCAGGTGGCTGACCACTAGACCCCAGGTATCCAAACGGTCCTGGTGGTAACAGAAGCCATGGACATCAAATGGACCCAGACATGGACCTTGCAGTAGCAAGGGCCCGGATGTCATCATAGCCCTGGGTGGCAGCGCAGATCACTCATCCTGAGCATGGGCCTGGTGATCACAAAACCCTCAGACACCAACATGGTCTCCGGTGGTGGCCCAGACCCAGATCCTGGGCATTCGTGTGGTCTATGGAGTTAACATGGGCCATGGATGTCAACACAGATCCTGACTGGAATAGGACTATGGGCCCAGACACAACTTTGAGCAGCAACCCAGGACATCACAATGGACCCGGGTGCTAAGCAGGTCACCTACGTCAGCCTGTTCCTCACTGCCTTTGCTTCTTCAGTTCCGCCTCTTCCTACAACACACAAACCGGTCCACTTCTCTTCCTCTCCCATCTCCCCACCATATTTGCTCATCATAATGGTGTTTACCTTGTGGTAACAGGTGAGCTTGTGGATGTTCCCAGCCTGCCCAAGGCCATGTGGACTCAGGTGGGCTGTAGCTTTTAAACACCTGGAAATATGGATAACTCTTGATATACCAATTTAATGTTGTGTACTTCATTCTCAAAAAGCTGAGTTGGGAGTAAGGAGAATAGATAGAAACCCAGGTGACCCTAGGACTTACCATTGTGAAAATAATGACTCCTAAAAGTAAAGTGTATGGGCAGGAGCTAGGGAGCCCAATGCCAGTGACACGCCTCCTCCAACAAGGCCACACTCCCTAATCCTTCCCAAACAGTTCCACTAACTGGGGACCAAGGGTTTCAATATATGAGCCTGTGGGTATCTGTGAGGGTACACAGTTTTGAATCTGTTTCTATCTTGACTAAAGGTGAGAGAGCTGAGACGTGGGTCTTGCTCCTCAAGGACAAATACCAGGATGTTTGGCCAAGGGTGTGGCTACTGGATGCCTTACTCCTCAAAGGCCAGTCACCAGGATGTTTGATTTAGGGCACAGTTACCAGGTGTTTTGAGGTGTAAGGAGGTATTTACTCTCACCTGTTATTTGTACCATGGAAGTCTGTGTTTTTCTCTTTTCACTGGGGCATAGGAGGACAGTGAGTGATAAACTCGGGGCCGCTTTTTTACAATCTTCACTGGAAGCCTCCTGGCTCTATCTTCTGTCTCTTGTCTGTTTTTTTTTTTCTCAGTCCACATACACACCCTCCTTCTCAGGAATGCACAGCCAAGTTGGGCTGGAGTCGACAGGTATCATTCTCATTCTAGAAAACCCATCTAAGAACCAAAGTTCCTCCATTTTGTCCTCCACCTCCATCTTGTGTCTTGTGTAAACTATTTCCTGTAAAACATTCCCGTCCTCAGAAATGGCTAGGGGCAAAAGTAACAGGGGAGCCATCTGGAGAGTACAGGTAACTGCAAAATGTCCACACCTGAAGATCAGTTGATAAGAAAACTTGACTAACACCAGGGGAGGTTCAAAAACAAAATTTCTGAAAAGTCCCTAGACACAAGCCAGTTGGGATTGAACTTGTCACCCTGCACTCTGCTAATGTAACTTTTCTGGGTTTCGCCTTTAAATACTGCCCTCTAGAAGGGCAGGGTACCTCCGCTTGCTGCTGTGCTGACAAGGTCCCTGCTGGCTTGTAATTGTGCACGCAATAAGCCTTACTTTTGCATTTTGGTGAGTTGGTCTCCCTGGTGGTCTTTTGGGGTCCTCACAGACTAGGCATAACAAGCCCCACAAATCCCTTGGTTTTCTTCTTTGCTTGCTATCTAACTATCTGTAGGAGGGAGGCCGCTAATTCGTTCCCAGCTGCTTAGCCCCCGAAATAATCACACAGAAACCATATTAATTAAATCACTGCTTGGCCCATTTGCTCTAACTTCTTATTGGCTAACTCTTACATCTTAATTTAACCCATCTCCATTAATTTGTGTATTGCCATGTAGCTGTGCCTTACTGGTGAAAGTTCCCGCATCTAAATCCAGTGGGGCTACCTGGCTTCTCTCTGACTCCGCCCTTCTTTCTCCCAACATTCAGCCCAGTCCTCCCTGACTAGCTCTGCTCTGCCCTGCCCTGCTCTGCTATTGGCTCAAAGCAGTTCTTTATTCATTAACGGTAATCACAGCATACAGAGGGAAATCCCACATCATCTATCTATCTATCTATCTATCTATCTATCTATCTATCTATCTATCTATCTATTTGTGTTTGTTTCTGAGATAGAGGGGTAGAGAGAAAGATAGAGAGATGAAGAAGGTGATACAGCTAGAAAGAGGGGTGCTGACTTCCTTCCCATGTAGTCTATCATTGGAACTTGCTATATAGCCAAGGAGAACCTTGAACTCTTGGTCCTCCTGTTGCTACCTCCCGAGTGCTTGTACCATGCTTGGTTTTATCCTCCTGTTTTGAACTCATTTTTGTACCCACAGGCTCCTGATGGCAAGCCATAAATTATTATTATTACTATTATTATTATTATTTTGGAAAATTTGTCCTGTAAGTGTGGTTCCTCTTGGCACTCTCCACGAGCGGCTTAGCATTTTGGCTTGCTCAGCTCTCTCTGTAAGATCCATTCCCAGTGGCCTTGTGCTCTCTTTGTCCTTGTGGTTTTGCCCCTTACTGTAATTTTAGTAGCGTTGGGGAGGAGTGAGCATGGATGGATGTTGGAAAGATACTTAAAGCCACCGAAATTTCCAAAGAGTGAATTTAATGGTATATAAGTTTTATGTCAACAGAATAAGTTTTAAACACTTTTCATGCTTGGGGTTTTTGTCGTAAAGTATGACTACCAAAGATTTCAGAGATGAGAGGCATGAGCCAGAGGAGCATCCGTGAGAAACCCAGGACAGTAATGGCTCAAATCAGGGCCTTCAGTGCTGACTTGGCTGTGTATCTGGCCTTGCAGCATAGCCGCTGAGCAGTAGCGTGTGCGGCTGTTCAGCACCGACCCTGCGCTTGCTGTTCTCCCGCCCTGTCTGTGCAGGAGGAACACTGATACTTAGGAAAGCTAACCTTTATCCCCGGGCCAGTGAAATTGTTTGTAAGACACTGACTCAAAGCCAGGTCTGGGCATGTAGCTCACTTGCAATATCCCTTGCCTGGCAAGAGCAACATCCTGGATTCAATTCCAAGCACTGAAACAAAAGAAGAAAAAATATTGTTAATTATATTATCATTGATTCTAAAATAGCCGACAATGTTTAAACCCTTGGGCCATCTTCAGGCTGGATGGGAAAGCGAGAATCCATGATAGCAGCAATGGATGAATGCTCAGGAGAAAAGGGGCTGTGTCTCCCCCTGGGCTTCCTCCCCCTCCCAGCTCTCATAATGTAGCCTGATAAATACCCAGAATTCAGAGGGGTTGAACATGCGAGGGGGTTAAGTGGTCTATCGCTTTTCTTAACAGCCCAGATCAATGCTGTGAGATCATTTCCTGTGACTACTCAGGGATTGCAGGTCAGGATTCCATTAGCGGTAAGGCCCCTTTCCTGCCAGCACCCATCCCAGCACATTCTGAATGTCTTTGTCTCATTCTCATACACCTACGAGGACGTGAGGCAGCTATGATGTCATCTGAAGCAACTCAGGGTCAACTGAGTGACGCTAAACAGATTTCTCTCCAAAGCTGATCTTGATTTCTTGGGCCTCTTACCATCTCTTTGAACTGTGCCAGTCTGGGCAGGGATGGCCTGTCTTTCTCCTGGACGGTGACCACTTCCACACTGTGCTCTGCTGTGCTGCTGGTCTGACCAGCCAGCGAGACAGGCTCGCCCTGGGGCTGCCACGCTCAGCAAATAAAGACAGAGGATGCCTAAGATGGTGGGTGAGGAGTGAACAAATATTTCCAGTGAAATACATCACAAACACTGTAGGGGTTATACGAACACGAAAATAAACGAAGAAACTTATATTTCCTTGAAATTCAGATTGAAATTGGTGCCCTTTATTTTATCTGGAGACTCTAGGTCCAGGCTACTGGGAGGCAACAGCACTGGGACCTGGCTTTAGCAAATGAGTTTCAGTGCCTCTCTTGGGGGAAGGAGGCCTTATTTCCAAACAGACGCCCCTATTCATACCTGTACCTCTCATGACCCCCCCACGGGCAGGTATCTCTGAAATCTCTTGTCTTGACAGGCCTGCATGCATTACTGGGGTTTTTGGCCTCATTCCCAGAATAAGCTTTGTGATGGCCACTCTGGTCTGGAAGTGTGGCCAAGGGGCAGCTGATGGTCTCAAGCAGGTACAAGAAAAGAACCAGAGACAGTCAGGGCCTCTATTGGTTCCTGCGGTGGTTTGAATAAAATGGCCCCCATAGGTGCAAAGGGAATGTCACTATTAGGAGGTGTGGCCTTGTTGGAGTGGGTGTGACTTTGTTGGAGGAAATGGTCGCGGTGGCAGGCTTTGGGGTCTCAGATGCTCAAGTCACTTCTGCTGCCACAGATCACGTGGACTCTCAGCTCTTTCTCTAGCACCATGTCTGCTCGCACGCTGCCATGCTTCTGGCCGTGATGGACTGGACTGGAACTCTAAACTGTAAGCCAGCCCCAGTTAAATGTTTTCTTTATAAGTGTTGCTGTGGTCATGGTGTCTCTTCACAGCCACAGAAACTCCAACTTAGACAATATCCTTGCCCCAAACTTCAGGGTGTCACGGCAGAAGGCATCCAGATGTCTATATACTTTGTATGATTTCTGATGGCTTTCAGGTTGTGGAGGTATGCCCAATGAGGGCAGCGTACCAAATTTTCACGTGCATAATGTTTTTTGCTTGTTTGTTTGTTTAGTGGCAGGGAACTGTGAGTGCCAAACCCACCCTACCTAACTGAACCATCTATACCGGAAGTCTATCACTTCTTCCCTAGTCTTCAAGTCTTACGCTTGTTTCAGTTAAGGTTTTGAAAAAAAAAAAAACCAAACTACTGTTTCTTGTAGAGATTTCAGTAATGGATTAGTTTATAGAAGAATCTACCTGGATACTGTGGCGCATGTCTCTGGTTCTAGCTACTTACGAGGCTGATAATGGGAGATAATAAATTTGAGGCCAGCCTAGGTCACACAGTAAGCCTGATGTAATCCCGGGGCTTCTAGGGAAGCTCCCCCAGCTAAGCGGCCTCTCCCGCTCCTTGACTCTGCTCTTGAGACCGGTCTCATGGAGCCCAGGCTGACTTCTAAGTCTTTATGTATCCAAATGTGAACATGACCTCCTGATCTTACTGCCTGCATTTCTCAGCTACCAAGACTATAGGTGGCACCACCATGCCAGGCTTACAGAATAGGTTGCAAAATGCCCTGGTGTATCAGGGCTGCACTTGAGCCATGTAACAGGAGCCCAAATAATAATGATTTTACAGCACAGGCATTGATCTTTCTTTGGTAGAAGGCAGGTCTACATGACCAGATCCTTTCTGCCTTTGTCTCTGTCAGCCATCCTTGGCTTCCTTCCTTCTAGTTACACCGTGCTCATTGCTCCTGTAAGTAAAGGTGAAGATAATGGCCTCTCCCTCTCTCTCTCTCTCTCTCTCTCTCTCTCTCTCTCTCTCTCTCTCTCTCTCCATGGTAGCCCTTGGTAGCCCAGGTTGATTCCAAATTTGTGGTCCTCCTCCTTCTTCCCTAATGCTGAAATTATTCTTTTACATGCAGCCAAGAAGGGATCTCTGTCCTTTTCTTTAAAAGTTTCTTGGAGCCTGTCTTAGTTAGGATTTCTACTGCTGTGAAACACCATGACCAAAAAGCAATTTGGGGAGGAGAGGGTTTATTTGTCTTACACTTGAGCATTGCTGTTCGTTTATTTGTCTTACACTTGAGCATTGCTGTTCATCATTGAAGCAAGGCAGAATAGGAACCCAAACAGGGCAGGGTCCCCGAAGCAGTAGCTGAGACAGAGGCCATGGAGAGCAGCTGCTTATTGCCTTGCTTTGTATGACTTGCTCATCTAACCTTCTTAGAGAACCTAGGACCAGCAGCCCAGGGATGGCACCACCCAGCATGGGCAGGGCCTTCCCCCATTGGTCACTAAATGAGGAAAGGCCTTACAGCTGGATCTCAAGGAAACATATTCTCAGCTGAGGTTCCTTCCTCTCAGATGACACTAGCTTGTGTCAAGTTGACACACAGAGCCCCAACTAGGCCAACCTTGCTTATTCCTGGAGAGCTATCTCCAGCTACAAGGTCCTGCCTGGGCAGTATTTCAGCTGTGCGACACGCGGGTTCCCAAACAGGAAGAAAAACGAGAACATTTACATACATGAACGAGTATGTAAACTCTTCAAGAGATGAGGGATAAGGCAAGCGTTCTTTTTAAAAATTGAGACTGTTTTGCATCTTGTTAAATAGTCCATGCCAGTCTCAAATGTACCCTCTTCGAACATGTTACGCCTAGACTTTTAACACTAAGCTACACTCCCAGACATATGTAGTTCAAATTCTTTTTCATATTATAGTATTTAATTCCATGACAAATTTACCTTAATGTTGATATATACATATACATACATACATACATACACACACATAAACACTTCAACAATAATAAGAATTTACTCTGAATCAAGTATGGCTATGGTTCAAGAACACTAAATCACCCAAATGACTCGTTCCACCTTGCAAAGAGTGTTTTCCGTTCGAGCAGGTGCACAGGGGCGGAGAAAGGGGCAGTCGCGAGGCCAGAAGCCTGGGAGGAAACTTTCGGCGTCACAAACTTGTGAGCGAAGTGCAACCGCCACCGACTCGCAGCTGCTTGCCCAGCCTCGGCGTCCCCTTCCCTTCCCTTTTCAGCCCCTCCCTGGCCTTTCCGACCTTCAGGACTCCGGCCCGGCGCCGCCGCCCGCGCCGACGTGGCGGAGCGCACAGGTCGCGGTCAGGTGGTCGGTGACGCCCGGGACCGGC